AAAGTTCTTTATGTTCTTGCCAAGCTTATTTCTTTTCGTCTTCTTTCATCATACATCAAAAGGAATGATAACTGAAGTACTTGTTATTATAGCTACCCTCACCAGTGTGAAGTAGAATCTCACTGTGGCTGTTTCAGTTTGTGAGTACCTGCCTGATAATTGGAGGAGATTGCATAAGTGTTCAGAAGTCTTGGTGCCTTTACATTCTTGGCAGATGTACAGTGGAATACAAAAGAAAAACCAGGCACAAAAATCAATCTGGAAATAAAGATCCTGATGGCATATACTCCTTTTTGCATCAAAACAAAGGCTCTGTGTCTTGTTTCCCTTTTGGTACAAGGTGTGCAATGACCTATCACTGGTGTGTGCTATAGCACTTAAATGTGTTTTTTTTTTTTTTGCTTGTTTGTTTGGCATTGTTTTTCTTTTTTATACAGCAAACCAATAGAAGGAAACAAAAGCCAGGCCTGACTCCAAGGAAAACAAGTTTCTTTGTGATAAGCTTCTTTTTGTTTTATAACTGGCATTTTTTTAAAGATGGGTTTTGTTTTGATGACCAAGTACCAGAATTGGTATTCTTTAAAAGATAAAAGCCAGAATGGTGGGATTTCTTTCCTCCTTTATGTAGCTCCTAATACATGGACATTACTTCAGAATTAAAGTATTATTGGGGTTGGGAATGAAAAGACCGTCTAATTGCAAGAACTTTTGCATATAAGCAATTTTTCACCATTTAAAAAGATGGAGGATGTGTTGGAGAGATGGCTTAACAATTGCAAAAGCTGGCTTCTTTTCCAGTGCACCTGGGTTTGATGTCCAGCATCTACATAGTGACTTACAACCAACTTTAAGGGGACCAAATGCTCTCCTTTGCCCCTCACAAACATCAGCATGCACAGGGTATACAAACATGCATGCAGAGAAAACACCTATATGCACAAAATAATGAAAGAAAAATTAAAATGGAAAATGAATTTCCCTTTTAAACAGAAATGACGTGGGATCTGCATTTATTGTGCTCTTCCATCACTCATATATTTAGAGATATTCTGACTGTAATTAGCTTTAACATTTGCTGCTAATTACAGTTGGCACAATGAATCAAAAGATGAAAATGTGTTCTTAACATCCACATTAATCATCTTGGTCACAACCACTGCAGGCCCTGACCTTTTCCAACACTCCTTACCTGAGAGTTAGGCACTGAGTGAAGTCACTTCTAAAAAAACTAAAAACAACAACAAATACCGTCAAACCAATCGAAACCCTCAAAAACTGTCCAGAGAAATCTCCAATTTCAGAGTCATTTTATCATGTTGTTCTGAGAGGTGAACTGTTCCCACACAGCGTGACTACAGTCTTACTGCACAGTACTGTTCTGCATTGGCTTGCTGGGCATGCAAGCACGAAAGCAGATTTCTACATGACACATTCATTTCTTGGTAATTTACTCTACTGAAAAGTATTTCTGATGCAATTATCTCCACAGTAAAGAATTTCAAAAATGTAATTAAGAGAAGATATGGATATGGTTGTTTGCCAACAAAAGTCTGGAAAAATGCATCTGAAAACTAAAGAATGATAGAGTCACATTCTTCCAAAGCACAGCAAGATTTAAGACATCAGTGATTTGCTATATGGCAAGAACAAAGCCATAAGTACTCAAGAGCATATCTCCACTACTGACTTAGGGAATATCACTGACTTTTTTGCTCTATTTGCACATAAAATAACATTCCTTTTATGATATTCAAAGTACAAACTAGATGCAAAACATTAAAAAATTCTGTAATGTTATAAGAAATGTACAACTAGACACAGGCCTGTTACTCAACATTGACATTTTGGTGATTATCTTATCACAAATGTCCACAATTAATGTAATAGTCTATAGTTATACATACCAAGTATGTATGTACAAGCAATTCATGAAATAAAGAATAGGTTTCCGATAAAATAAAATAGATGCTGCAGAAAAACCTTCAAGAGAATTTTACTGATTTGCAACAGTACTTATGTGCATACTTATGTGCAACTAAGTATGAAAGAAAAAAACTGCAGTATGATGTGGGATGTCCTTCTTGTATGCTACGAATATGTGCTACTTTTATTGGTTGATGAATAAAGCTGACTTGACCAATGGCCAGGCAGAATAGAGCCAGGCAGGAAATCCAGAGTTACATAGAGAAAGAAAGCAGAGTTGGGGAGATGCCATGTAGCAGCCAGGGAAGCAACTCATGAGGAAACAAGCTACAAGCCTCATAGTAAAATATAGAAAAATAGAGATGGATTAGTTTAATTGTGAGAGCTAGTCAGTAATATGCCTGAGTCATTGGCCTTTGAGTGGCTATTCAGGAACTGGCAGGTGGGAGGAGAAACCTCCATTTATACCAGTTAGTTCTGTTTAAATCTTTACAAAGTAGAATAAAGTCAAATTAAACTTTCGGCTTAGAGTTCAGGCTATAGAGTCAGACAGACCTAGCTCTACCTTTAACTAGTCATTTGATGGTGGTCAATTCAATTCTTTGAGAGTAAGTTTCCCATAAAAATAAAATGGAACTCTTCAGTAAAACCCAAGTCCAGCAGGGTCAATAAGAGTTAAGGATAATACCCATCTTACAGAATCAACGTTTAGATCTCTCCCATGTACTAAGTTGACAATGTTTTGGCACTTGGAAATGAGGCCTTTGACAAGTCAGGAGGGTAGTGTCCTGATTAACGGATTAGTGCCCTTAGACAAGAAACCCTAGAAAACACATTTGTGCCTTCTGTAAAGATACAGGGAAAAGAAACGACTGAAGAGCCAAAACAGACACTCTCACAAGAGTCTAGTCCCTGACTGCCTTTATCACAGACTTTCTTGCCTTCAGAAATGGGAGAGACAATTTCAGGTGTTTAAATGTCATCTAGAAAAAGGCATTTTCTTTTAAAACAACCTAAACAGACCAAGGTAGAGTGTGCTGGTTTGAATAAGATGTCCTCAATGTGCAGAGTGAAAGATTTTGAAACACTATTAAATGAGATGTCTTTATCAAATTCCTTCCCTCAGGGATCAGGGAGCTATGCAGAAGAGGAGACAAGAAGACTGTAAGAGCCAGAGGGGATGGATGACTCCAAGGAAACAGAACTGATACACATATGAATTCACAGACTGTGGCAGCAGGAACAAGGCCTGCATAGGTTCAAGGCAGATAGAGTCCCAGTGCCGAGAGGGAGAAGTGGACACAGGCTCTCATCCCTAACCAAGAAATATCTCCAGTTGACATTCACTTGGAAAGGAAAAATTAGCTCACTCCAATGGAGTCTCACTGTGCATATCTGCCATACTTAAGAGTAGGCTCCATGCCCAGAAGCAGATAGCCAACACAAAACAAACTGTGGTATTTTTGTAGACTTTTTTTCTCACATTATTTTGTTCAGGCATTCAACAGCGAGGAAGTAGATTTAGTCAATTAATCTCATTTACTAATACAGAGAGCTCATGCAAACAAATGGTTACCACTCAAAATCAAGACAACCAGTGAATAAAAGTTACAGTTAGGGGTTAGAGAGATGGCTCAATTGTTAGAGCATCTGCTGTGTAAGCATGAAGACCTACATTCCAATTGAGAGTGCCCATATAAATGATGTGTAGGTGTGGCCGTCCTCCTGTAATCCCAGGGCTTGGGAAACAAACACAAGGCAAACTGGCTAGCTAGCCTTGATGAGCTGGCAACTAAATAACACAATGTAGAATCACCTGGGAACACAGTTTCTCTAACTGTCCAGACCATGCCAACCTGTGGCCATATCTTTGTACATTAATTGAGGTAAAAGACCTACCCACTGTGGGGTAGTATTATTCCCTAGGCAGGGAGATCCTGAACTGGGTAAGAGTAGAGAATGCAAGAGGAGCATATTAATGTGTGTTTATTTTCTCTCTGATGTTGACTGTGGCTATTTCAATTCGCTGAAATGATGGACTCTAAACCTGAAATTGAGAGCTTAAAATAAACCCTTTCTCTCCCAAGTTGCTTTTGCCAGGGTATTTTAATACAGCAACAGAAATGAAACAAAGGTACTGCTCAATAAGTAAGGTCTGTAGAGTCCTGAGGTAGACCCTGATGTCAACTGTGGGAACGTGTACACAAGCACACACTTGTACGCACAGACCACATACAAAGTTACGTTTAGGACACCATGAAAAGCTGAAAATATATGAATCTTTATAAGCATGCATTCAAACAATTTTGACCTAAGATCAAGAGTAAGAAACCGATTATCCCAAGTATTTCCAAATGTGTTCTCAGCCGTGCTTGCTATCTCACAGTCTTTTAAATATCAAAAGAAGAAAAACTTCACAGTCTCTTCAAATTTCTTTTTGAAGAAATGGTCAAAAAGGAAAATAAATATAAAATTAAGATTTCAAACATGAAAGTAGAGATCTGCTATCAAGAAAACTAAAATAAAACTCAGAAGACAATTGTGTATGAAAAGAACTAGTAAGTCTTTAGCATTGGGCTTATTTGTTAGAAACCGGGAAACCCGTTTGAGTAACAGATAGTACAGACCACATTCCTTTCAAATAAGCTTACGTTTCTTGTTAAGAAGCTGGACTAAAAAATCCAGTAATTCTTTTGAACAAACACTAAGGACCAAAGAAGTATGACAAAGTTAAGCTGTGAGATAAAACAGTTTCCTAGCTGGGCAATGGTGATGGTGGCATATGCCTTTAATCCTAGCACTCGGGAGGCAGAGACAGGTGGATCTCTATGAATTCAAGACCAGCCTGGTCTACAGAGCGAGCTCCACGACAGACAAGGCTTTACGGAGAGACCTGATTTCAAAAAGACAAAACCAAAACCCAACACTCCACCATCCACTCCCCCTCCCAAGAAAACCTAATAGTTTCTTCCACAGTATGGCAGTTATATGGCCAACATTCCAACTCAAAAAGAAGACCTTTCAAGTGCTCTAAAACTTTTGTGGGACAACATGATAGGAGGGAGAGCTTTGGTTACCGTCTAACCCTGAAGCACTTCGTTCATTCTGGTGACCAGGATGTTACATTTCTTTAAAATTTCAAAGTGATTCAAATCTTCTCATGAATGTGCTTTCTTCCTTGCTTCTCATTCCTGTATTTTAAAGGTACCAATGTTTACTACAAGAGAAAAAAAAAAACAAAACATGTAAGCTGAAGGGCAAAGTAATTTAAAACACACTGAATTTGTTCGTCTTTGGGAGTCAGCTAATGAACTTAAGAAGTAACTTTCCTTATTTAGGTGGAGACAAATACAACTTCATACATTTGAGAACTTCTGTCACACTTACAAACCAAGTGTCTTATAGACCCTAAAGAATAATGATGTTAAAGATTTTGTAAAACTTCATTTGATTGTCCTGAGATGCATTTTACAAGAAACATGCTGGTATTCAATGACTGGAAAATATTTGTTCCAGCTATCTCCAAATGCAAATATTTAATTAGCAATTTGAAATTCAAGTATAAAATGTATTTATGAACTGGCTGAAGATAGTCACACGAAATTTTATATATATATATATATGTATATATATATATAAATCTACTTCTGACTCTTGGGAATCCAATTTAAGAGTTCTAAACTGGCCAAATCCCCAGTATGGTTTTTGCATAACATTAATAAAAGAAAAATGACTAGATGAGAAACTGAAAGATGAATATTATTACTGTAAAATGATTCCTGGGGCTTAGAGATGGCTTAGCGGTTAAAGGCTAAGCTTACAACCAAAATATAAAATGATTCCTGATTATGCTTACATAGCATAAAATTAAATCCTCTAATACATTTTAAAATTTAAAAAGCACCTTTAAAAAGAAAGATTTTTGGAAAGTACTCTATCACATGCTATCTAAACTGAACACGGCTATGGTATTCTTAATGTTTTTATAGTGTTTATAACATTAATGTGACACAATATTAAGCAGTATGTATGGATAACCAAATATCTAAGTCTTAAAGAACAGTGACGAAATTATTTAGTCTTCTTTACACTGTAAGTCTTTAGGAGATAAAAATGTACTTTACGCTACTTACAGTTTTAAAGTTGAATATGAAAACACAGTGACAGAAAACTAATTCCCCAAAGGTAGGTTTTGGCTACTCCTACAGTACTATAAGTTCCCCAAATTATTCTTGTTAATTTTTTTTTTTTTTTTGGTTTTTACGAGACAGGGTTTCCCTGTATTGTTTTGGAGGCTATCGGTTGGAGGCCTCGAACTCACAGAGAACCGCCCGCCTGCCTCTGCCTCCCGAGTGCTGGGATTAAAGGCGTACGCCACCACAGCCCGGCTCTTGTTAAATATTTTATACTTGGACTTGCAGATGACCTATTATAATACAGTCAAAGAAAGCTCACCCCCAAAATACAAAATGGAAAGTGCTAAAAATATTGTTTAATTCAATCTTCTCATTTTAAATGTCTGATTTGTAAATACTATATAGTTAGGATCTTAAATCTTTATGTACTCTGAAACTGACTCTTAATGAAGAGTTTAATCCATTTATATTTAATGTAAATATGAAATGCTTGGGTTCAAAACTACCATTTAAATGTTTCCTATCTGTTTCTGTTCCTTTTTTGTTTTGTTTATCTTTCATTGCCTTACTTCCAGTAAAATATTCTTTCATGTTTTAACTTAATGGCACAGATATTACAACATGCAATCTCAAATTATCATAGTTTATTTAAAGTTATTAACAAGCAAATCAGAATCATGAAATATCACCCATATACTGTAATTCTCCTTTTGCATATTGCACTCACACATTAAAATCCATATGCATTATAAAACCACAATCAGTTGCCTTTTAACAAAACAACAAAAAAGACCTTTTATGTTTCATCTCTTCCATAGAACCAAGTTTCTATCTAATATCATTGTCTCTCAGTTTAAAAATCCTTAGCATCTTAATAGTAGACTTATATTGACAATGGTCTACCTAATTTTTCATTTGTCTGAATTTGTATTAGTTTTTTATCTTTATTTTCAAGGCTACAGTCATTGAAAACAGATTTTTTGAGGTAAGAGCTTTTAAAGCTGGATAGGGTGGTGCTGCTACTTAAGACATGGATGTAGAAACACTTCAAGTTCAAGGCTTGAGTCTGAGCCAAGCCTGTATCAAACAAAGGGCTGCAAAATACAGCTGAGTAGCAGGGGTCAGAGAACATTTTTGTGGGACTGGTTCCTCTCCTCCTACCTTTACCAGACAGTTTGGGTGTGGAGGTCAAAGAAGGATGTGCAGGAGTCTGCTCTTCCTTTCTACTATGTGGGTTCCAGGGATTAAACTCAAATCTTCAGGATTGGCAGCAAGCATCTTTTTTTTTTTTTTTTTTTTTTTTTTTTTTGAGACAGGGTTTCTCTATGACTTTGGAGGCTGTTCTGGAACTAGCTCTTGTAGACCTGCTTCTGCCTCCCGAGTGCTGGGATTAAAGGTGTGTGCCACCAACGCCCTGCCAGCAAGCATCTTTTAACCACTGAGCCATCTCATAGGCCCTATTTTAAGCTTCTTAGTCAAATTTACAATAGATGATTTTTAAGTTATTGTTTACTGACTCCAACATCTAGATTTCTCTTTTTTCCTCTTATATGATAATTTGTTTCATCACAACATACATTGAACAATATGGATAATATGTTGTAGCCATCAAAGATTTTATCTTTGAATGATGCTTATTTCTCTTCTAAAGTCCTTCAGCTTCTGGAAACTTAGTTCTATTTTATTAGGGAGGACATTTTTAAGTTTTTCCCTTAATCCTAGGATAAATCCTTAAAGCCATAGACATAGTACTTCCTTCTAAAGTAGAGTATTTCTGGGCTTGAATCGGAAAATCTGCTGTATTTTTAAAATAAACATAAACAAACAAAAAAAGCAATTCTATCTTGAAAGCTCTCAAAGTCCAAATCTGATCAGAATCAACAGCTTCCACTAACAACATTATTTTCCACTATACCCTAGGAATGTCCTCTATTACACATGAAGATAGGGATCAGCCAATGAATTAAGAGAAATATATATATGTAGATTTTTGAGGCTCCCTTTGTTTTTGTTTTATGTTTTTTTGTTTTTGGTTTTTTGAGACAGGGTTTCTCTGCATTATTTTGGAGGATGTCCTGGAACTCGCGTTGTAGAACAGGCTGGCCTCAAACTCACAGAGATCCGCCTGCCTCTGCCTCCTGAATGACGGGATTAAAGGCATGCGCCACCAACACCCAGCTAGAGGCTCCATGTTTTCTGGGGGATTTACAGCACCAAATCCCAGAGTTTGTACAGAGTTGTACAGGAGTAACCTATAAATGTAGAATTTATAATCTTTACTATGAAAAATTTTTATTATGTAACTGTATATATGCAATAACATCTTTATAGAAAATACACTCTAAAGCAGTGTATTTCTTAACTTTCCTAGCGCTGTGATCATTTAGCACAGTTCCTCATGTTGTGGTGACCCTAACCATAAAATTATTTTGTTAGTGCTTCATAACTGCAATTTTGCTACTATTATGAATTGTAAATATTTTTAGAGACAGAAGTATGTCAAGGTGGTTGTGACACTGGTTGAGAATCACTGCTTTGAAGTATTCAAAGATAATGGGTCACAAAGGTAGTAAGTTACTCTTAAATGATTCAGGAAATAAAATATTTTTGTAACTTGTTTGTGAAAATATATTATAAAACATAAAAATATAAATAAACCCTATCAGTTCTACAATAATTGAAGAATAAGCATTTCTGTGAACAGTTATTTTCACTGTAATGTTTGATGATTTATAACGCATGTTAGCATATTAGATATCACCACAAATTATGCAGCAAATTCTTTTTACTTATTCATCTTTCAACTAACCACATATAAATAAATTACATACTTAGGGACCCACTATGGTTGAAGACAGTATTTCAAGTAAAGACAAGAAAATTCACCTCATAGTTATATTCTAAAGAAGAAGAGAGAAGGAGGAGGACAATAAGTTTCAGATAAAAGCTCTGAAAAAAATAAAGGATGTCAAGTATAAATTATAAGATGGAGGTGCATTATTTATTTGTTTAAGATTTTTATGATATGGCTTCATTTTGCAATTGTAGTCTATCTTCCAAGTCAATATGCAGACCAAGTTGGCATTGAACTAACAGCTATCCTTCTGCCTCTGCCTCTCAATTGCTGGAACTATAAGCATCAGCCAACACAACCTTCTGAAGATACAATCTCTGGACAGTGCATTAAAAATAGCCTACCAATTAACTGTTATAGAAGTTGGAACTGAGGAAAATGAGCCAAACATAAGTGGAAACCATTTTATAAGAATTTTCTATACAGGACATCCATGTTACAAGATAGTAATGAATTATTCTTTCAAAACTATGGCTTGAATGGACCTTAAGGACATAACACCAAATAAAATAAGCCTGAGTATCTGGGAATCCCGGCACATGCCATCATGACCAGCTTCTGATATAACCTTTGGCACTATATTCTCTCTCAAAAATCTTACAGGCCCAAGCATGTTTTATTTTACTTTTTAACTTAGTAATAGGGAATAGTTTCCAGTAAAAATATCACAACTGAAATACAATGCATCAGTCTACTGGGGATTCAACATCTTACTGGAAACTTTAATCAGACAGATTAAAGTTCTCAAAGCCATAAGCTATGAGCCAAATCCAACTTGTCACCTGTTTATTTATAGTCTGCAAGCTGAAAATAGTTTTTATATTTTAAAACAATTGAAAAAAGCAAAAGGAGATTATTTTGAGCATCAAAATTATATGAATTTCATTGTCTATAAATAAGGTTTCCTAAGAACACAGCCAGCTCCTTTGTTTCCACATCATCTATGGTTGCTTTTGAACTATATAAGGAAAGGGGTGAGTAGTTATGACAGCATAGCAAGTTAAGTGCCTATGAAGCCTACTGTCAGAATTAATGTTTGCCAATTCCTGATATAATCTAAGTTCAATATTTCAACCCTCTAACACACAGGACATATATTTTAAAATACTAATGACCTTCATTGGTTCTTTCTGTGAGTTTTTGCTTTAATTTGCCCTTTTTGTTTTGTTTTGTTCTTTGGATAGAGTAAGAGAGTGGGAGTCAGAGACAGACATGGAGAGAACATGA